TCCTTTCAAAATTAAATACTAGTACCTTTGAATAATAATAATAACAATAATATATTTTTCAGTTTAAATTTAATAATGGCAAAAAAAATGATTAGGAAATACATGAACCCAGTAATGTATAACATGGTCATATTATATAATAAATGTTAAGCTGTACAAATGTATGGATAAATATACAATCAATTACTCATGTTGAGTACATAATATCAGCACACTTTCAATGCTGGATTACTGCTTGTCGTCGTATTCATACCATTTTTAATTTAATCTAAAAAACAATGTTCGAAAAAATCTATAATCGTTAGCAAAGATTCTGCGTTGTTCAAATAATTTTGGCGCCAGAATGAATTTATCTCAATTGGAATGAACTATAAATAGAACAAGCAATTGTTTATATAAAACTCTAAGATTTCTTTCACTTATATTTTGCTCTTATTCTAATCATCATATTCTTATCATCATAAGAACGAAAAATACATAGACATGTACACATAATATTCCTACGTATGTATGTAAGAAAATTAGACATAGCAGTGCAAATAAAAATAAATGAAAAAATTAACAGTAGAAAATTTATTTTTTTTAATTTTAGCAACTTGGTTAACTTCTATTATTTACACTAGATCATTTGTGTATTATGTATAGGCGTTATTACATGCATTCGACAATAATTTACTCGTCATATTTATTTATGTACATCTATTGAATCGATAGACTTCTGAACAAAAAAATTAAAAATAATTTTAATGAAAAATTCAAAATATAATACATATATGTGTATGTATGTATGTACGTATGTACGTATGATACAAATCATTGTTTTGTTGATTTTGTTCTGATAGGTTAAAGTTTGTACTTACATAACTATAAATAATAAAAAGGATTAACTAAAATAACTCTCTTACTGCATTCTAATTGTACGTAATAGTGCATTCTACTATTGGGCATTTACAACTATACGGATATCGAATACTTCTTTGTCAACTATTCGAATATTCGGTTATTATCCGGATATTATATATAAAATTAAATAAAATAAAAAACTTAACATAGAGTGCCAAAATAAAAATTTTTGTTGTTATTTTATTTCATTAGTTTTCATTTTGAAAATAATATTTAAGGAACAAAAGAGCGTTTAGATTTTTAAATTTTAGACAGCTTCTTAATTTAAATTTTTTTCCAAATAGTAGCTTCGCTTAATGGCATCTTTAAATTTTTCGATTCAATGTAACCCTTAACAGCTCTTATGTACGTAGCTTTTATTTATTTTTTTTAAACAATAAGAAATGATAACTATATTGCGTAACAAATAGATAAAAGTTTGATTTTTAATCGCAATTTTAATTTTGCAGATAGAATGGGGTATTCCCCGTATAAATATCAGCTGTCAAGTCAAGTGTATATCAGTGTTGACGTTGTATATTTTCCTTTCAAATCCATCCATTATTTATGGGAAACGTAATACATAAACTTTTTAGAATTATTTTGCGCGCTGCTGACATAAATTGAAAATGAAAGACGAAATATAGTATTCGACTATTCGCGAATACTGATTTCAAAATATCCGGATAGCGAATACCTTAAAATACCCCCGAATATCCGGAGGGTCGAACTTCGGGATCGTATAATTTAAGACTAAGTGGAGGCTCAACAGTATCTCTTCCTGTTTTTCGTACAACTTCGTATCACATTTTTTTTGACATGTAGATCATTTAATGGATTACCTGTGGGTTTATAGGATCTGAGAAATTTTAATTTGTTCGTAATTGTATTTCTATTGAATTTTGAACACGGTAACATTGAAGATTTGCCTAATGTTTTATCTTACAATGGCATTTTATTTCCCTCTCATTGCATTCGATTTGTTAATAGTAATTATTCGATTTATGCATATTTTTTTTTTTAATTTATTCAAGTGCACATATTTTTTACGCCAAAATTTAAGTTTTCTTTTTTGGTAAATTTATTTTATATATTTTCAAATAATTTGTAAAATTTGTTAGCAAAGTTTGCTTGCCAGAAGATATTAAAAACAGATTTTTAAGGTCCTTATTTTTTTTCATTCGTAACTTTTATGATTGAACTTATGAATTAAGACATCATAACACTTGATAGATACTATTGAAAATTTCATATTTCTCAATACTACTCGTAAGTGTTATTCATAAATTTTCTCTTTATTATAACTATTTGTGAATAAACATACATAAAATAGTTTCGTCAAGTTTAAATTCAATATCGCAACATAATTTTATTGTAAATAATATATAATAAGGTAAAGAAAAGGTTATGTGATGGCAACAAATTTTGCATTTCGAGTTTTCGGTTGGAACGCACTTCTCCACAGTAGGGAAATGTAAATAAACTGCTTTTAGAGAGGTATCGATCTGTCGGTCTGTGTGTGCACGCGTGTATTTCGAGCTCGGCTGCATCGATTTTGATGAATTTTTATATGTAAGTTTATTTCGACCGTGGCACGGATTGATCAAGTTATGGGATATATCAGGTCTCGGAAACTGCGCTTTTTAGCAGGCCGGTTTAACATTTTTGATCATTTGAAGAAAAAATTCAACAGTTTTACTTAAAATTTCATATATAAGCTTCATTCGATCGTACGCGCAGCGTCCTAATTTTTGGAAGAAATCAGGTGTCAGCAACTGCACGTTTACTACTGGCCAAATATACATTTTTGCGTATATAACGAAACATAATCAAATGATTTCATTGAAATTTAATATTTTAGTTCTGGATCTTACCAGAAGTTACTGACAAACTTTTCGTATAATTCGGACGGCACAATATGAAAATGTTTTTTCTAGGTATGTCAACATTTTCTAGGTATGTCAACTAAAAGCCTTTTAGTGTCCTTAAAATTGTAAAGAAGTGTTTAAAAGGCATTTTTGTAATCTTCAGGAATACTTTTACTAATTTAAGCAATACACATTGCGGTCGGTTATGTGCTGTGCACATCTAATTTTTTAATATGTAAACACATGCAAAAATATTTAAAATTAATAAACTGAAAGCAAAAACTTTTTTTTAAAAAAAATTTTAAAACACTAACGATTTCAGGCTTCAGCTAATGAAACGATAAAGTAAAAAATCCGATGTGATCAGCACATAATCGATGCATTTTGAACACTTCCTTTCAATTTTAAAGAACTTAGCAGTATGTGTAATTTTGGATTAAATTCTGCTTAGTAAAATTTCGTCTCCTGCTATCCGAACCCCCTGACAAACACTTTTATCGCTTACAACCAGAAGTCAAATTTCAAGAAATTCCATCAATCCGTCCCGTAGATACGGTAAAAAATGTAATATAGGCCCCCAATTTAGTTTCGAGCACTAATCTTTCCAAAAAATATATAGATTCATTGTTTAATATCCCTAATTTAAATAATAAATTTCAAGGAAATTGGTTAGTTATTTCTCTTTATATACGTAAAACTGCAAAATTGGCCCGCAAGAAAGTAAAGTTCCAGAAGACTGATATATCCCGAAAGTTCATCAACCCGTGCCGGGGTCAAAATAAACTCACATTCAAAAATTCATAAAGATCGGTTCAGCAGAACTGAGATACATGCGAGCACATGCATGTGTCTTATCATCTTTCATCTTTCTTAAAGTAGTTTATTTACGCTTCCTATCATGAAGTAGTGCAAATTAAATTATAAGTTTTTACTTTACACAAAAAAAATATTTTAAGATTTATAAAAGTTCTTTTTATTTCATTTATTAATTAATTACACTTTAATTTCCAATTCCAAACTTATTAAATTAAACTATAAGTTTTTACTTTACACAAAAAATATTTTAAGATTTATAAAAGTTCTTTTTATTTCATTTATTAATTAATTACACTTTAATTTCTAATTCCAAACTTATTAACTTTATTTTTAAATCTTTATTTTCTAAACGGCAAAACGATTTAATAACTAACGAGCTACTGAATTACCAACCAAGCAAAGTTGCTATTGAATTTACTCTATTTATAAGAAATAACTGTTTAGTAAGCAAAAAATTGTTTAGAATAATTCTCATGGGAAAGTTTTAATATTGTAATTTGAATATTTGGAACTTTGCTTTAGTTTTGTCTGTAAAAGTTCAATCACGTTGCAATTAAATGATTTCATATAGGAGTTTAATTGCAACGTTGAATTTTAATTTTAATTTAAAATAAATATTTTGTTTTTGTCAAATCACGTTGCGATTAAATGATTTAGAATAGGTTTAAGTAATAAAGTATGGAAATTTGATCGCAACGTTCGATTTAATTTTAGTTATAGTTAAATTTTATTTTTTGGTGTTCCGGGCGTAAGCGAATATATAACTCCCCCCTCGTTAAGCTGGAAGCTCTCCTGAGCTCCAGAGATTATATTTCCTTTACTATTATTTTCATTTGTATCGTTTGGCCGTTTTTTACATTTATAAAATTTTTTCATATAGTATTTTGTAATAAAAATTATTAAAAGCAATATAATAGAGATATTTGACAGTATTAAAATATAATGGTTTTTAATTTCAAATTTTACAAATTCTATTTCATTGTAATTTTCAATTTGCTTCAAATTAATATTTTCTAAATTTGGTATATAACTAACATTATAAGGTTCTAAATAGTTTGGTATTATTATGTGGTTGTTAATTTTTCTCTCTATGTTTTTGAATATTACGTCATCTATTTTTATAGTGCAATTATAATATGTAATTAAGTTAGTTTTAATTAGTTTGTATTGTATGTTATTACAAGTATTTTCTAACATTACATTATTTGCATTTTTTACTAAGATAATATTAGATGAAACTTCCACAATCTCAAAATTAATATTTTTTCTTTTTGTACAATTCTTAAAATTATTATTCATTAAATTTTTTATACAACCATTTATTACTTTTAGTTTATTTTCACAATTCTGTTTATTATTAAAGTAAATTTCATTTTTAAATTTCAATATATTAGTAGATTCAATGTTTATTTCCTCGAAATTTTTGTTAGGTACTGGAATAATTTTATATCCAACTGCAAGTTCCTTTGCAACGTTAGGGATCAAAATGGCAAAAATAATATTATTATCTAGACTAATAAGTGAACTTTTTATTTCTTTATATTTAAAAACATCGATTTCAAATTCATCAATTTCTTCATTGGATAAAATGGAGTGAGTCATGATACCATGTTTAGCGAAAAGAATGTTTTGTTGGACTTTGTCTATTTCTGAATTTAGTAAGTTAATATTTGTGTAACTAGAAAGAAACTGTAAACTTTTTATGCTTTTGCTAAAGGTGTTGTTTTGTTCTCTCAGTGTAATATTTAAAATTTCTTGGTTTTCGTTAATTCGTTTCTGTAGAATATTTAGGTTTTTCTGAAATTGGTCGTTTATTTTAATCTGTTTATTTATGGTCTGAATGGAGTTGTAATTTCCCTGTTCAATAAGTTTTATGTTTTCTACAATTTCAGTTTTGTCATCATCGTCTAAGTTTCCAAATAACCATTTTAAAATTTTGCCACCTAAATTAATGAGTCCTCGTTTTTGTCTGTGTGGTAGTAATGTTTTAATGTTATGTCGAGTTTTTTCGATTTGAATTTGTAATTGTTTTAATGTGGTATTGTCTTGGTTAAAAGTGTTGTAAATATTATTTTCAATTTGTGCTAAAGTATTTTCTAGTTCGCTAATATTTATAAAGTGAAGAATTTTAGAATAGTTTTGAATTATAGGAATTTCTTCCCGTTTGATTAGTTGGAATCCACCCTGATTTTCCAATACCCGAACGTCAATGTTTGCAGAACAAGTATTTGAAGTGAGGAGTAAAATTAGTAGTGCTAATTTAAGTTTGTTGTGGTAGTGGTTGAGTGGAGTTTGTTTCTGGGTTACCTGAGGAAAATTTAAAATTTCTTTTTAATCTACTTGGGTGAATATTTCTATTCTGGTTATCTTTTAATTTACCGTTAATTAATTTAGATTTAATATACGTATATTTCTTTTTATGTTTATATCTTAGAGCTTCGGGATTTTTTACAAGAACTTTGTCTCCTTCTTTATAGTCAGGGTCTATCCTATCTTTGTTTAGTTTTTCAATCGTTTTAAGTTTATTTTCATCAATTAATTTTCTAATTTTTTCAATATCGGTTATTTCGTTATTTACAAAGTTTATAGGCTTAACTTTAGTTACAGAGTGAATGGAATTATTATATTTTTCGACTGCGAATAATATTTTTTCATACGGTGTTAAATGTGATTTTTGTGTATCTAAGATACGAAGGTGTTCGCTTAAAGTTCCGTGAGCTCGTTCGATTGTAGAATTTCCGGTATGGCTTCTGGGTGACGTAAAGTGAGCGTTTATATTTTCTGTTCTAAAGAAGTTTTTGATATTAAGACTATCGAACTCATTGTCGACAACGATTTTATCTGGCCTACCGAATAGTGCAAACCTGTTGCGAAGTGCTTGTATAATAGTAGTTGCATTTCGGTCATTGAGACGTTGGACCATTAAATGCTTTGAGAATTTGTCAATTATTGTAAGAAATATTTCCTTATAACAGAAAAATAAATCGACGTGTATTATTTTATTAGGAGAGCTCGGGGTTTCGGAAATTTCGAATCTATATTTATTTGGTTTGCGATCATATTTTGATTGATTACATATGTCGCAACTGTTTATATACTTATGAAATAGTTCCTTAAGTTTAGGGAAGAAAAACTCATCTTTCACTTCTGTATAATTTTCAACGATACCTCGATGGTTTGATTCTTTATGAATTTTTTCTATTAATTTTAAGGCCTCTTCTTCATTTTCTATGTCTATTGCTTTTTTAGTACATTTTATGAATTTCATTTTATTATTATTAGAAAAGAGTTCCGTGAGTTTCTGTTTGACTATATCAAATTTTTCATCATTTAATTCGGAATAGATAGCAGTTATTCCATTTCTAATGAATCGTCTAAGTATGTCATTTAAATAATGGCTATTATTGATTTCATTTTCACTAATAAAGATTTGTCTAAATTTTTTATATTTTATAATTATTTCCCTTTCTTTTTCTTTTGTCAAATAAAGCTGCGTCAAATATTTATTAATTATTATATCGGATGTTGGGAATTGATTTTCATGGCGACTATGGTTTGTTGTTATAACTGAATTATTAGAAGGTGTTTCGTTAGGGTCATCTATATGATTAATTTCATTATTTGTAGAATCCATTCTACTTAAAAAATCAGCAACACGATTTTCTTTTCCTTTTACATAGTCTATTTCGAAGTCGTATTCGTTTAATCTGATTCGCCATCTTTGTAGTTTGGCGCCCGGTTCTTTTAGTGAATGCAACCATTTTAAGGGTTGGTGGTCTGTTCTTATTAAAAATTTTGTACCATATAAGTATGGCCGAAAATATTTAGTGGCCCATACTATGGCAAGAAGTTCCTTCTCTATAGTAGAGTAATTGCATTCATGATTATTAAGGGTTCTGCTAGCGAAGCAGACTGGGTGGTTTTCTTGTGATAGGACTGCTCCAACCGCAAAGTTGGACGCGTCCGTCGTTAATACAAATTTCTTTTTAAAATCAGGGTAACGAAGTATAGGATAAGTTGTAATCAATTCTTTTAATTTTTGAAAGGAGTCTTTATATTGTATATCATTTTCATTGATTTTATTTCCCTTTTTCAAATATTTAGTCATAGGCTGAGCTACTTTCGCATAGTCCTTGATGAACTTGCGATAGTACCCCGTAATGCCTAGGAAACTTTTTATCTGCTTGGGAGTCTTAGGCAGTTTGATTTGTTTAATTACATTAATTTTATCTTCGTTTGGCTTTATTCCCTCTGGTGTTAATATGTGTCCTAAATACTCTGTCTCTTTAGAGAAAAATTTGCACTTATCCACTTGGATTTTTAGATTGAACTCTCTTAATTTTGAAAATATTTTATTAATAGCTGAGAGGTGTTCTTGTAGTGATGTAGAGAAAATAAGGATGTCATCTAGATAGACAACGCAAATTCGCCCGATAAAGTCCTTTAAAACGTAATTGATCATCCTTTGAAAAGTTGCCGGAGCATTCTTTAGTCCGAATGGCATCCGTACAAACTCAAAGTGACCTTGCGGTGTAGAAAACGCGGTCTTTAGACGATCTTTTTCATCCACCAATATCTGGTGAAACCCCTTTGCGAGGTCCAGAGTGGTGAAATATTGAGCGCGACCCAATTTATCAAATATAGAATCTATATTCGGTATCGGGAATTTGTCATCAACCGTAATTTCATTTAATTTACGGTAGTCGATGACAATGCGCCACTTTTGTTTCCCTGAGTAGTCCAATTTTTTGGGTACTACTCATATAGGGCTATTATAAGGGCTACTGGATGGTTGAATAATATTTTGCTCTAACATTTCCTGAACTTGCTTATTTACTTCCCCCTCATGTATTTTTGGAAACCGATATATTTTACTATAAATCGGTTGGGAAGTAGTTGTAATTATTTGATGTTTTACACTTTTGACACATGTTAATCGATCTCCTTCTTTATAGAAAAGATCCTTATTAGAGTTTAAAATATATTTTAATGATTTAATTTCTTCTCTATTCATATTTTTATTTAATAATTTTTCAAATAATTCATTATGGTTGATTTGTAAAGGTTCTATTTGACAAGTGTTTTCAAAAGGACAAGCTGAATTAAATTTAATATTACGGTTGTTAATTTCTAACCGCCCCTTTGAAAGATTAATATTTGCTCCTATTGGTTTTAAAATATTTTGGCCTAAGAGAGCGTCAAAGTTTTTATTGCTAAGATCCATTACTTTCCAGGACATAGTTGAATTTTCATTGAACTCGTCAGGTACTTTTGTAGTTATTTCGTATTTAATGGCTTGGTTTCCTGCGAGTGTTTTTAATTGAATTGGATTTTCTAATTTGTTTTGTTTAGATCGATCAAAAATATTGCCGTTTATAATTGAAGTAACTGATCCTGTGTCGATCAGACAGGTCAGCCTTTTGCCTTCTATTGTTAAGTCTACTAAGGGTAATGTCGGATAGGGGGACCACAGTGAAAATTTTCTGTGGAACCCGAATCCACATCCATTGGAACTGGACTTGACCGATTTTCGTTATAAGATGGTCCTGGTAGATTATTACCTGTACCACCAAATTGTTGGTTGGGCCTAAAATTCCTAAACTTTTCGTTAGTAGTGTAGTTTCTGTCCATTGGTCTATTTGTGTAAGTGTTTCTTATGTTGTTATTGTAATTGTTATTGTTGAAAGTTCTATTTGCGTTTCTATAGTTATTTCTGGAATTTGTATTATTACTACTATGTCTAGAATTTATGTTATGGTTATTTCTGTAATTTGTATGATTATTGTTCCTATACTGAGAGTTGGTGTTTGGAACCTTGCTGTCGGATATATTGGTTTCTAATAAGCTTCTATAAGCGTCTTCTAATGTTGTTACATTTTTAGTTCTAAGGTACATTGAGTCTACTCTATTTAATTTATTCAAAAATTTTTCTAATATTGAATTTTCATTATTAATTGGATTAAATTCTGAAGATTTATTGTCATCCAAATCATATTTTAAATTTAACAAATTTAATATGGAATTTAATTTAACATAAAGATCACTTACATTTCTAAAAATTATACAGTCTGCTTCTTCTTTTAATTTCAAATAAGATTTCTGTACTCCGAAGGTAGCTTTCAGTTGTTGTTTTACTTCGTCCCAAGTTTTTTCCTGAATTCTCCGGATTGCTGCCGCTGCAGGACCCTGGATCTTGCTGTACAAAATTCTGTATAGATAGTTTTTTGCATCGGCATCCGCTGCTAAGGCAATTAAACTTTCGACTTCTTCGATGAAGGATTTTAGACTGTAGGCGTCTTGTCCAGTAAAAATTGGTACTGAACGAGCTTCGCCTATCAAGTCTTTTAATGTAATTGCAGCAAGTGACATGTTAAAATTTTTTTGTATATTTTTTAGATTATCAAAGTATTTTTCTTTTTCACTTTTCTTCATAAATGTTAAAAAAAAAAAATATTTTGGGTTTTTTTTTTTTTTTTTTTTTTTTTTTTTTTTTTTTTTTTTTTTTTTCTCTTTTTATAATTTTTGTTTTATCAATTTAATTAGTTGTAAAATTTGATTTGATTAAAGATCTTTTAATAGATATTTTATTTGTGTTTTACTTATAATTTTTGTTCGTTTATTTACCGAATTAACTTTTTGAAAAAAGTTCTCCGCCTTTACACAACTAAACTTTTATCACTCAGTTCACCACAAAATTTTTTTTTTTTTATTATTATTATTTAATTTTGCTTAATGGTTTGAGCATTACACTATTTTATTTTCTAGTTTTTTGTTCATTTAAATTGACTTAAGAAAAATATTAGTGTTTTCTTTTTTTTTTTGTTTAGATTTTTTTTTTTTGTTTTTATAGACGGAGTCGGTATCCTACCGACTGCGCCAATTAAATTATAAGTTTTTACTTTACACAAAAAAAATATTTTAAGATTTATAAAAGTTCTTTTTATTTCATTTATTAATTAATTACACTTTAATTTCCAATTCCAAACTTATTAAATTAAACTATAAGTTTTTACTTTACACAAAAAATATTTTAAGATTTATAAAAGTTCTTTTTATTTCATTTATTAATTAATTACACTTTAATTTCTAATTCCAAACTTATTAACTTTATTTTTAAATCTTTATTTTCTAAACGGCAAAACGATTTAATAACTAACGAGCTACTGAATTACCAACCAAGCAAAGTTGCTATTGAATTTACTCTATTTATAAGAAATAACTGTTTAGTAAGCAAAAAATTGTTTAGAATAATTCTCATGGGAAAGTTTTAATATTGTAATTTGAATATTTGGAACTTTGCTTTAGTTTTGTCTGTAAAAGTTCAATCACGTTGCAATTAAATGATTTCATATAGGAGTTTAATTGCAACGTTGAATTTTAATTTTAATTTAAAATAAATATTTTGTTTTTGTCAAATCACGTTGCGATTAAATGATTTAGAATAGGTTTAAGTAATAAAGTATGGAAATTTGATCGCAACGTTCGATTTAATTTTAGTTATAGTTAAATTTTATTTTTTGGTGTTCCGGGCGTAAGCGAATATATAACTTGCATTCTCACCGAAAACTCGACATCCGAAATGTGGTGCCATCACATAAGCTACCTTAATGTATACAATGCGGTCGGTAAAAATAAAGTAGCTATCATATTCAAATATACACAAATACATGTAATAAGTGTTGGTAAGATGCAAATTAATTAAATTAGTATGTATAACATTTGCTTTCGGGGACGGCGCGCAACGGTATGATTAGATGTGAGTTTGTAACATGTCTCGATTTTAAGCACTATTTCGATGTTTACTCCATAGAGAAAAGTTTTGACAGAAAAGATATTATAAGGAAAAATATTGTGACTAATTGTTTTTTTTTGTATAATGTTTCGTTATAGATTACTTTCATTATTGTTAATATTTATTTCGTACTTAAAAAAAATTGAAGTTAGAAACAAAAATCATATTTTATATCATTACTATATTTTTTATTGACCACACCGCCTTATTTACATGCTTACATGTTTCACTAGTTCTTAAAATACATTCGTAGCATGTGTTATAAGGACAGATGGGTGATACACTGAAACGAGGGAGGAAACGCTTCAGGTCTTGCTTGAGGTACACTTCCCTGGATCTGAGGTGGTCTCAATAATGGATGGCGGAGGCATTGTTGACGACGTCATGACCTTACATGGCCAAAGAAAGCCAGTAAGGCAGGATTGGACGTTAGTTCATAAAATTGTTAGTTATGAAAGGGTTAAATCTGCCATAAGGTCGTTCAAGCCTTTCAAGTCATCTGGTTGGGACCGGATCTTTCCTGCCTTGTTACACAAAGGCGAGGAATATGTCGCGCAAATCCTCACAAGGCTGGTGACTTTCATTCCCAAAGCTGGTAGGGTGATGTCGTCATTCATCATCAAAACGTTGGAGAAAGTTGTGGGATAATTGCGGATCCTCTGTTTAGTACCAGTACGCCTATCAGGCGGGCACTCGCACCAACTTGGCTCTGCTAAACCTTACCCCTAAAATCGAGAGGTTCTTGGAAGATAAGGAGATTATGACCGCCCTGAGAAGGAGAGGTATTGCCGAGCTGGTGTGTGGATTAATCTGGCGCATGCTTGAGAGCAGGGCTGTAGAGGTACCCCTCAGCTGTACGCACGTTGTAGCCAAGATCTCCAGTGGCTGTCCTCAGGGGGGAGTCCTTTCGCCGCTATTTGGTCCCTAGCAGTTGATGACCTGCTGTGTCGTCTGCATGATCAAGGCTTTATTTGTCAGGGATATGCAGACGAGTTGATCATTATAGTTCGGGAAAAATATAGAGGAGTGCTGTCAAAAACTAGAATTCTTCCCTTCACTAGGAGGAGGAAATTGGATGAACTGCGGTCGGTCTCACTTTTTGGACAGGAAATTGGCCTATCTGACACTGTCAAGTTTCTGGGAGTCACGTTGGATAAGGCATTACGTGGGATTCGCATCTTGACACTGTGATAGGACAGGCTCGCTTTTCACTTGGACGTGTAAACGTGTCTGTGGAGGGACTTGGGCCTGAATCCAAGGATGATGCACTGGATATGCTTGTGAATTGTTCGTTCAGTTGTTACATATGCTTCTATGGCTTGATGGAGGAAACACCCGAAAAGACGACCCGGGACAAGCTGTGAAGACTACAGATAATCGCGTTCAAGAGTAGCAATCGAATTGCTACTCTTGGCAATCGGACATGTGGCGAGCTGACGGATCATCCCTTCGTCGATCATCCTATCATTTGCTAGCTGAGAGGGCAGGGAGATAGAATGGTACACGGACGAATCCAAAACTGCAGAATGGGTGAGATAAGGCATCTTTGGGTTCAGGCTGGGTCTTAGGTTGTCTAGAGGCGCATTTCGGATGGATTTCCACGCAGAGGACTTCGCGTTAAGATTTGATTACGTAAAAACATTCGTAGGGGATACGTAAGCAAAAACTATGAACACATTCTCGGATAGTCAGGCGCAATTCGGGCCCTTGACTCTTGCCAAATAAAATCGAGTTTGGTGTGAGAATTTCTACAGTGGAACTTGGTCGAAGGAATAAAATTACTCTATCATGGGTCCCGGCGCATGTGGGTATTTATGGCAACGACGTGGCGGATGCTCTTACGAGACCGGGGACGATGATAACATTATGTCAGTCCCGAGCCTTTCTGTGGACTGTCAAGTTGTCAGGCGAAGGTCTTTGTTCAAGATTTGTCTCCCAGGTGCCCCAAGGAGCTGTTGGCGTGTAGGAGGGGGAGGCTAGAATGATGGTTGGCTTCATCGCTGTACACAGCAGATTGGATTATCACTTGCACAAATGGGAAAACCTGGATCCGTTTGTGTAGATTTTGCCATGATGAGGATGAGACTGCTGACCAAATTCTCTGCTTTTGTAAGGAGGCGATTGATTCGCTTGGAGGGAAATGTGGTGGCACCCTTGGACTTGTGGAAGGTGGCGCTTGTGCGGATCTGTAATTGCATGAGGATTATACGGCTAGCTGGCACTTTATAAGTAGTAGGATGTCACAATAAGTTTTTAGGGTTGCAGTGACCTGGACCTAGGTTGATCCACGTCTACCTATGAATCTATCTATCTAATTTATAATTGTACGAAATCCAATACCCTCAATTGTACGGAGGTAATACATTTCCCACTGACTATATAATGGTCGCTTTTTAATATTTTAAAATTTTATTTTATTTTAAAAAGGGTCTTTCTTTACCATTTTCAAAAAAAATTTCATTTTCATTTCGAGTTTTCTATTAAATAATGAGATATAATGGTTCTTAGATCAAAATAATTCTCAACTTTTTTAAACAACATATCGAATTTTAAAAAAAAAAACTTTTAACTATAATTTTGATTACATAAGTAGATTCCTAATTTTTTCCTACATATTTCTAAACAACCATTATTTAGAAGTGAAAGAAAATATTATTTAACATTAAATTAGAAAATGGAAGCGTCAAATATAACAATATACATTAGTAGTTTTATAGATAAATGCATATTTATTTAGAGGTGGTGGAACCCGCGGCCTTTGTGCCCTTTAATTATTCAATTGCTTTCAAGTAAAAAACAAATGCAAATATCTCATTAAATATAGTCTAACTTAAATTAAATTTGTTAAACAATAAATTTAAAGTTGTTTTTTTGTTATTTATGTTTAATTACTTATTTTTCATTGAATTGATTTTCTTGTTTTATTAATATAATTTTATTAATTTTTATATTTATTTATGTATGTATGCATAAAACAAATATTGACTTTATAAAAAAAATTTTATTTGGAATAAATAAAAACTGAATTTAAAATAAAACGAGAAAAAAAATAGAGTTGACCTTGTCAACTCTGTGATACCTGTATGAATTTGTTATCCTATGTGCGAATAACTAATGTGCCATAACTAACTATGGGGCAGACTATGACTTTAAGTTGCCGTATTACCATATTAATTTATGCAAAATTTCAGTACTATGTGTTTTTCAAAATACTGGTTGTGCCAAACTACTATTGAAGTTGTATGGCAGCTACCAGAAAGAGCCAAGAAATTTTAGCGAATTTTATCAAGCACATCGGCCCTACTAATATATTCGTTTGTGTGAAATTTCAATACCATAGCTTTAATAGTTTCTGAAATATAGTCAAATAACTTTTGAAGTTGTATGGCAGGTACCAGAAGGAGCCAAGTAATTTCAACGACTTTTATGGGCCCTACTAATATATTCGTTTGTGTGAAATTTCAATACCACAACTTTTATAGTTTCTGAGATATAGCCAAATAAATTTTGAAGTTGTATGGCAGCTACCCGAACCAGTGCCCCAATCATGTCCAATTTAAATAGGGTTCTGGCACTT